GCACTTTCTGGTTTTATGTACTTTACGATGTTGGAGTATTGAGGAGAATTTGCGTGTAATTAAATCCCTCCTTTAATTTTATTGAAAGTTAAATTATTAGACACACTTAGCTATTTTAGATCTTTCTAAATAATGACAGGTCGTCAACGTTCAACCGCAACAGCAATGTTACTTGAAGAGGTCTCGCAAACGTGTCAAAGTTTAGATGTACGAGTTGCAACCTACCACGAGAGAGAGTACGCAAAGTTGTACCCCCTAAAGCTTAAAGCTCAATTTCGAGCTTTTACCACGTTTACCAGTAAAAGCCAAGGGAAATCGTAAAGCGACCCGAATCTTCTTACTACTTTAGAGGTAAGTAAGTACGTCTTTTTCGACGAAAGCTGTCAGTTTTCGGACACGTGTCGGTTTCGTCACGCGAACGAAAGACAAAGGTTGGTACGGGGAATTTACCGCACCCCCTAGTAGATGACGTTTAAATTATTAAGCGGCCCTCCGGAACCGAGTTCTCGAACTAATAACGGCCTTCGTGTCGTATAAATCAACCCGGACCGGCGTATAAATAGGGAATGAGCGGGGTTAGACATTGGCGGGGCCGCGATGGAAACAGTTTCGAATTGGTAGTTTTAAATTGAAACAGAAACCTTGCGTTTCAATTGCCATTCGAAACGTATACCTACAGTGAAATGCATGTATTTGACGTCAGTGGAACTCATCAACTCTTAAAAACTTCTAGTTTCAACGAGTCGATTTTATAAAATTTTTGCGATAAATAATGTAGAATGTTTTTACGATTAAAATGACTACGAATATTTGTAAATATGAATGTTTAGAGTTTTCAGTTTTGGTTAAAATAAAATCTGTATATTGACCGTAACTAATTTAGTTTTATTAAATCGCGCAAATAATAAAAATAGAGTGCGCGTATCAATAAGCCGGATTGTTTAAATTTCAATAACCTCGTTTGTTATCCCATATAATAGCTTTTCGCATTACATTTGCATCGAAAAACTATAACTGCGAGTCAACTGTGTCACAATCAATGAAAATAAAAAAAATTTGTTCCCTATAACTCATAGTGTGTAAATTAAATTGAGTTTACTTAATTCAAAATCAACATAGACTGGAACAAGTTATACATCAACTATATGTAAATGATATTATAAATTAACATTCACGTTGTAAGCTACAAGAAACTCATTTATACTATAATAATACCTACCTACAAACAATAGGCAGGACGTAATAATAATAAGGGTATATCTCTCAAGCGTCTACCAATTAGACTCTATCAAACCAGGTAGTTTTTGGATTACCTTTATCCTTTTTGATGTGTAAATGAATGCTTTCTGAAAAGTTTTTTTTACAAAATTACTTGTTGGCAAGGTTAAACCAAAAATAAAATAACCAGTTTATAACAAAGCATGTTATAAAACATGATCATATACTTGGAAAGCACTAATAAAGACGAACAAAATATGCACATGACTTCCATAAAAGACAAGAACTGTAAAAATGTTGGACTAAAATGTAGACACCTCTTAAGATTACATCCTTTGACTATGGAATTAAATGATCACCTCACAAAAGTTACAAAATAAACTAATACTCTGAATGTTGTAGCTAATTTAACCCCTAGTATTTGACCTAGTTTTAGTCGAATGCAACTGACTATGTTTTAGCCGCCAATAAACAGATTACACCTAGTCTTAACTAACTGCAATCGGCTGTGCTTAATTTCAACCTGCTAAACCGAGATGTGTACCTATGGAATTATCAATGAAAAAAATAAATATCAAAAATCATAGACATATTTTCCTAGTCTTTCCAATATTTACAAATTTGTGAAAATCAAATTAAGGGAAAATGTCCATTTGTCAACGAAGAAGTCTAATTTCAAATATAACTTTAAGTATTTAACATAAATTTATTAGATATAAATTTTTAATTGCCGAAATTGTTGATAATCTTTTAAATTTCCTGGTATAACTTTCAAAATTCATGGTAAGTGAATTCCTTGAAAGATTTGCATGAAATTAACTTTAATTATTTACAAAACTATTCAGTAAATAAGTCCGGATTTGGAAAATAACTCTTAGATTTTGAGGTGTTTTTTTTTTTTAGCTCAATCAAAATTCCTAGCTTCTTTCAAGTTTTTTTATATCTATTCAAAAAACGTTACATGTTGATTTCTAAAAATTTCTAAATCTACCATACCAAACTTTCTAATAGTACCAAAATCTTTTAAGTAATAGGTTTGTAGCAATAAACTAGTTAACTTCACTAAAAGTAAAAGTTGAGTACTAAATGTAGTGGATTTTTTTAGCAGCAATTAAGGTAAGGTTATATAGCATAATATAAAACTTTGAAACATCGCTATTAGGGGGCACCCGGTGCTAGTTGTTATATCCTTATATTATACTCCTTGAGATAACTTTGGGTTTGTAAATAAACTAAACTTTGAAGAGCATTTGAAATCGAGGACAAAATTCTTCCCAGGTTCTAGAAAACAAAATTTGTTTAAGAGAAATGTTAACAATACGAGTTTCAGGAGCAAAGATTATGTTGTCATAAACGACAACATGAGAAGCAATGTCTTAGTAGATGCAAAAGTTTCCTTAATCCTAACCATCCTTCATGGTCAAATGAAATTCAGCAGGCAATCAACAGCATCTTGAGCACATACATTTTTATCGTACCAAAATCGTACCAATTAACTCATTATGTCTCAATAAAGCGATCTCAACAGATTGTATACAGCCAATATGCAAATTTGATAGTGCTGGGGTAATTACTTTTGTGTTTTTAATGTTGTTCGATACAGCTGTAGTAGCATTTGCCAAAATTGCGCTCTACCACATAAATATTATAAAGAAATCTTTGAAAAACACTCAATTCTATTGATACAACATTAATGCAACAACATCATTAACTATCTTAATTTATAAATTTCGTAAAGCTGACCCAGTAGAGCATAAAAAATCATGTGTTGCAAATGTTGCTATTTATTAAGATAGATAAAGTAAACTAAACGAATGCAGAAGGAAAGAAGCTGAAAACAAGACAGAAGAAGCCATAGAGAATTAAGATAAACTATTAAAGAAGAAAGAAGCAAAACGAATGAGAACAATGTACTGAGGTAGCCAGAAAAATGAAGAAAATAAGAAGCATAATCTGGAAGATTACAGAAAATCTAGAATGAAGAGAAAAATTAATTCTGAACAAAGAGAAAGATAGAATCGAGAATGAAATAGCTAGAGGTAGATAAGAAAAAATTAATTCAATCTCCAGATTTATCTGATTTTCAAATTGAACATTACATGAGATATTTGGAAAAGAAAGTTAACAAAATTGATATAAACCGCTTTTCACTGTAAACTTGAGTTTTCTTGATATAAATTAAAAAATTCCTAAGAAATCGATTTCATAGAAAACTTGGATAGATCAGTTATCAATAAAATTTAATTATTTGTCACATTTTGATTTTGAGATATGAATTTTTCATCTAGCTCCGATTATATAAGTTGTATAATTTTTACGATTTATTAATAAAAATTCAAAAATTCGTAACAAGCCAACTTTTTGAAAAATTTCTACGGAATTATCATAAATTCTCATTACAAGTTTATACTTTTCAATCAAGAAATCATACTTTGATTAATTTAATTGAAATTTTTGTAACGTTTAAGTTTTCTTGATTTAAATGCAAAAATTCGTAACATATTAATTTTTTGAAACAGTGGTATGAAATTATCATCAATTATCAACAAAAGCTTCTAGTTTTCATTATCAAATCACATTTAATATTAGAAATATGAATTGTTTAACTTAATCAAAATTTCTGGTAACTATTATTAATAAAAATTAAAAAATTCGTAGCTAGACAGTTTCATGGAATGTTTCTATGAAATTATCACAAAATATCAATAAAAGCTTCCCCTTTTGAATGAAAAAATTCGATTTGAAAAAAACTTCTAATTCTTTAAATAACATCACTATTATTTTTTGATATTTTCAGACAATCTCTTTAATGTAATTTTTAAATAATTTTAGTCAATTAAATGCATAGTTGAAATTTAATCGTGATTTCTAGATTTAACTAGGATCACAAACAGTATCTGTATGTAGACAACACAAAAATCACACATCGATTAAACCTTGTGTTAAAATTTTATATAAACGCAAGCTAAAATTACCTACAGTAAAAATAGTTACAGTGAGAGCGTACACGTGTCGGAACGTGTTTCTTTGAAGTGGTACGCCAAGAACCCGGACAATGTAAAATAACGTTGACCTGCGCATATTAGGGGTCTCTATGTTATTATTTCACCCCCCAGAATCCGATGGAGGTGACCCCGCAAAGTGGACAAAAGCCTTCTAAAATTGCTGTAACCGCGTTCCGTAACGGTGAGCACCTTACAAAGTACACATACACTCTCTTTTCTGACCTACCTATTGTCGATTCTTTTATAAAACCACCTTCATCTTTCTATGTAACTTTTGCAAAGGTTGGTTTGTGAAAGAAGTAAGTATAGGTACCTCATTAGAGTGGATATCTTTCTATTAAAAAAAAGATGGAAAAAAGCATTCCTATAGGTACAAGAAAACTTTTCTAATACATGTAAATCTCCTTTTTATATATTGTTGGTTCAGTTAAAGATTCGTATTTAAATTTATTATTTTGTAGTGACATTATTTTCCGAAATACTTGTTATTATAATTAATTTAACGATATTGTACCTCCGATATTGTGACATCTTTTGAAGTATGTTAACCCTATTATACCAACCTATAGAACAATGTCAATGCCAATAGATTCTCTCAGTTCAAATCAATCACCGCACCAAATCAATTTGTGGATGTAGAACACCTATCGGAAATGTCACACAAGCCATTAACAATATCGAATCGATATGCCGTGACGGAATTGTTCGACGAAACCTCATCCATTCTTTCGATTTCAATCGAAAAATACCAATAAAAATGATTATAAACCCACTTACCGTTAGCCGCTGAGTTTCACTCCATTCAAATAGTTTTACAAAAACCACTTTAACAATTCAATTTCGAGTTTATTCAAAAAAATGCACTAAATGTTTTAATTGATAAATATGGCACTACTTTTTTTTGTGTTTTTCCGGAGTTTATTTTATGATGCTTGCACGTACATATAAAGTTTCAAACTCGAAAACCGCGGGAATAATGTTGAAAAGCGTCGTAACGCCGACGTTGTCACCCCGACGCTCTATCCGTGACTGAGGACGGCAAACTCCCGTGTACAGCAGAACCGAAAGGCTTGGAAATCGATTTCGGGACGCGAAGGTGGTGGCCCTGCTGCTGCTGCTGATGCTCTTGCTTCTACAGTGCGGCACTACCTACTACTTCATCAAGAGAAAGAAGGAAAAAGGGGTTGGTTGGCTTCTCAAGTCCGCTGAAACTGAAGTGGTCGACTCTGTAATTGAAGGTATTACCATGGAAGAAGCCAATGATAGGTATAGTAATTATGATACTTCAAAGCTTTTTTCTAAATCAATTTTGTAACATTTTAGTATTAGTAGCAGAAAAAAAGATATTGTTAGATTTATTGATTAATATCTTGGAGAGTTTCCGCAATCTAAAATATCCAATATCTCCAATGACAGGTTTATACATTTCCCGGCCACATCTCAACGAGTTTTACGACTTTTAGCGGTTTCTTTTTTCCGGTGAAAACGACCGACCGCGTCCGTCAATAAACAATTTCTGCGGCTTTGTTTCGTCCACGAATACCGCTGGACCCAATTCGCTCCCAATTCGTTCCCAATTCGCCGTGGACAATAGCGCTTCCGGTTTTCAATCCAGTAGAGGTTCGGGCTATTTTATACACTCAAACGTAAATGACGCAAAGTGCTCGAAAATCTCAGAGATGCCTTGAGGATGATTCCTCGCCCGTCATTTACACATCAACTTACTCTGAGTACAAGTTTACAACGTCCAGTGAAGCAAGAGGAAATGAGAAAGTTGGGGTTTCGTCCAAATAGACTGTGGAATAGACATGAATTTGTGCCTTTTATGTTTTGTAATCGATGGATGTAATATGTTTTGTGAATCTATTATTGTTGATTAGTTCTTGGATTGGATATCTAGGATATAGAAACCAATCTGGTACGTGTTTCGACAAGTACATATACCTCGTTGTTCAATTTCGAAACAATTTCGAAGCAACAATATTGTTCTAATTTCAACTGTGTAACTAAACTGATTATGAATTTGAATTCAACTAACATATCAACGTAAAAGATAAAAAATAATTGGATTATTATAAATGTATTCGCATTTAAACAGACTATGAAAGTTTAAAATTTTAATCTTTCGATTAAAAACAAAATTTCAATCTAAAAATTAATCGATAACCATTTGGGGCGAGAATATTTATAGTATATCGCAGAGGGGTTTATAATTGTACATTTTATTATTTGCAATTTCCACCGAATTTTCCTTTTTGTCAGAATTATAGTAAAAATAGTCCCGAACCTAACATTTTATAACATATAAACTCGCTTTTTTTTGGGAGTTCTCTATTATTATTTAATCCATTATCCGAATACGCCGCCGCGCGGAAAACAAATACCCGTCAAGATTATTGATAAAAGCCCGGGCGGTGATTTTTATTTATTGGCACGAAAACAAGTTATCGTCGGTCGGGCGCTTTTTCGAAACCAACCGGGCAATAAATCTGCGGTTGCGGCGTCGAACTTGCGCGAGCAAGTTCCCTTTCACACTACCCAACCTGATAATGACGAAAAAAGTCGACAATTTTCTTTTTAACCGTTTTAAGAAAGTCATTTTTATTTTATTCTAAAATTATCTTTTACCATTGAATAAGTGTCAACTACTTAGTGATGGAACGGATAGTGGTTTTGCGAAAAGCCGGATACCCGATATTCGGCATCCCCTTCGACCGGATATCCGGTTATCCGGCATATCTATTCGGCCATTATGGTTATAATTTCTGGTACATTTCTGAAGTGATACTCTACATTGCTAGATTATTGCGACATTTGAATAGAAATGAAATTAATAAGAAAGCTGATACGATATGTCAACTTATTTGGATCCAAGATACAAAATGAACTTTTTTGCTGCTGATTTAACTAACGAAGCAACTCTAAAAAGAGGATACTTTAATTAAGAATCGAAAGTGATAACAGCAACAGTTCTGTTAGTAATGGATATGATGAATTACAAGCGAAGAGAAGAAAACTAGACGAAACTGCAACAAGAGATCTTATATATCGTATTGGGATTGTTACAATGAGGTTGCTAAAGACAAACCTAATATAAATAAACTTGTATTCAATGAAAAAAGTCCTATTGGGGTTGAACTTGATTATTATCTGTAGTGTCCAACACCTAAAAGAGATACTAATTCCTGTGAATGGTGGAGTACTAAGTAATAGGGTTTTAATATCCGGCCAAATCCGGATATCCGTTCCACCACTCCGGGTCTTCAAGTACACAAAGGCTTGGAGAACATTAAATATTTAAAAAATAAATTTCATTTAATATATTTCAAAACATCTAATTCTAAAAATATTGAAAAACCTTTTACAACGTTTCTCATTTAATTTTGAAAGGAGGATATCCTTATACCGTCGTATAAAACTTAATATTACCTCCAATAAAGGAGGTTATAACTGAAAATAAACCCACTTCCCGTCTTAAATTTTATTGCTTCCAGCAACAGCAGAATTTATTGAAATTGAACCCCAACAAAGTAAATTTGATATTCAATTGAATAAGACAACGTTTGGAAGAATAAATATATCAATGATTTATTATTAAAATAAACCAAGCAACATTACACGGAGAAGATTTCGGTTAATTTAAAAATTTGAATAAATTTTGAAGAATCTGTAGAAGTTATTTTTTTTTAACATTAAAAGAAAACATGAAAACGTTTGTTTCAACGATCTGGATGTCTTAGAAATACCTTCATGCGTGACTGCATCCTTTGAATGTAACATCACGGAATTACATTTTTCTCTGCAAGAAGAATCAATAGATTTAAAAGATAAACTATAAATTTAAAACACGTCGTTGAGCAATATTTTAAAACTGAACAAGTTAAACAACAATTTTTGCACATAAAAAATTAAATGATGTAATATCACCAATTATTAATTAAAGTATTCTCTTTTTAATGTATAAAGCCGTTTTGAGAAATCGCTTTTGGTTTTTGAGAAATAAAATTTTGAAATGATTAAGTTTTAATAATTCGTATGAAATCCATTTCTTGGAATATGAGTATGAAACTTTCCCAAAGTGCTAATAGAAGTGTCGTCTTTCCAATGAACCAACCCGTTTTGAAAAATATTGATTGTTGGGTTGCTGATAAGTAATAGTTAATATTCGAAACCGATGTTGTGCAAACATTTAGCAAAGGCAGAAGTTAGGCATTTCTTTTACTCGATTTAATTTTATACTCTATACACTATATTTAGTTTGGGCAAAAAGGCCAAAATAGTGATATACTCGATGAGGCGATCGAGGATTTTGTGATCGATAATTAAATCGGCTTATAGTAAACCCAGGAAGGACATTCAATGTCCTAACAAAAAGGGATTTAACCCGGGTATTGTTAACCTGTATCTATTAATGTTCACGTTATTATGAATAGATTGTGACGGGCTAGAATAGGAGGATTATTATTTTACTTTGAATGATATGATAACATAAACGGATTATTTGTAATTGAATTAAAACGATTTTGTTGACAAAATTATATTAGCCTAAAAAAATAGGGGATTTTTATGTATTTAAATTTTAAAAACAAAACAACTATAAATAAAGATATTTATCAATTTCCGGTTTTCTCTATTCAACATTTTGATGAACGTGCACGAACGCAACTGTATAATACCTCTATATTTTCGCTGAAAGCTATGTTCAAATGTTCCGAAACAAATCGATATCAACAAAAAAATATTTATTTAGTATCCAATATTTTTGGGTAGTAAATCAAGTTCAATACGTTCTAGTTTCGATTGTATTTACGATGTCATACCATCCACACTTGGTTAACAATGGCTTCATAAAGATGGAGTATTTATGTCTAGCTAATGCAGTTGAAACAGTTCCGGGATTCTGCTGCTACCATACCGGACTTTATTGTCGAAATATTAATCACTTGTGTGATCCAAGCCGATCCGCACCGCATTACGTTCGGTAAATTTCAATTATTTCGCCGATGATGGGGCTATTTCGTGGGTGTAAGTACGTTTTAGGGCTTAAACGCGGAGTTACGAGGTTGCCCATTGTCAATTTACTATTACGTTTCGAAATCAATGAAACACCGCAATGTCATTTATGTTTAAATTATAACTCATAAAAATTTCAAAACCTTTTAAATGAATAATTTTGCAGAAACATATTATGCGGGGTTTAAATTAGAAAAAAAATCTCGGTTAAAATGAATCATACTAATTTTTGCTCGACCGTAGCCTTAAAATCTGCTACGTCCGACGTGAGGGGGCGAGGGCTTAGTTTCTCATTAAAGCGGCTTACAGCCCGAATCGCGAAACGACGTATCAGAGCAGCTGGCGCCCTTCTGGTGAAACACGGCGAAAGAAAATATGTATGCATAGAAACTGCACCAGCGGCAACATTCTGAAAAATTAATTAAAGCTTGCAGTAGCCATGGCCTCACGTATCGGCGACAAATCCTTGCTTCGTTGCGTTACAACTCCGACGACGCCCGTCGTTCCAGCTTTATAACGCTTCACAAAATTTCAATTTTAAGACTACATTGAAATAAACATGAAACGATACGATATTAACATGAAAAATAACATATTTTTGATAAACTGATCCACTAAATTTAACAAAAAGCGATTGAAAAAAGTCGATTTTTTCGGAGAGCAGTGAGCAAATTAATTTATCTCCGGCCGTTTCGGCCTTATTTATATAAATTCGGACCGGCCATTTGTACACGCCCGGACTTTTTTTACGGGCGGTTTTCTGCCTCATTTGAAATTTTAATTACGAATCCCAGTGCGCGCATCGCCGCCTGCATTTAAATTTCGCACATTTGTCAAACGGGGCCCGTTTTCCATCTCGCTCAGACACTGCGTTTTAATTGAAAACGTTGTTGCCTTCGCAATCGTTTAGGGAACGCTAAATAAGTGCGATACCGTGTTCACATTTTTCTGCAACGGATCGTCGCTTATAATACACGTTTATTAAATTTATATTAATTATAATCGTTTATGATTTACTATGTT